TAATCAATGGGCAACCGCCAGGACACAGCAGAAGGGCCACGTGACAGCCGGCAGAGAACACAATCCCATCTCAGGGCCAGGGCTGGTAATCCTCGGCCTCCTGGTGAGCGCTGGAAGGTGGAGCCTGGGCCAGGTGCCCAGAGATGCCCCAGCTCTCCACTGTTTTTCTATGTGGCCTCAGCTGCTGTCTCCGAAAATTAAGGTCCCGATTAGATGCTGTCTAAAGCCTCTTATCACTGTGAGGTTCTGAGACTGATAAATACATGTGCACGGCCGCCCACCCCTTTCTGGGACCTACTGTTGAAAGCAGCAGTCTTTCCACTAGCTCTTCAGCCCCAGCCTCAGGGACCCCCTCCAGGGGACAGTCCTTCCAGGGGGCTCATGGAGGGTGTGGACACAGGGAGATGCAGGGCAACTTCCAGCCCCTGGAGCCACAGAGTCAGGTAAGAACCACAGCTCCTTAGCTGTGACTCTTGGGCACAGGGCCTGGCCTCGGTTTTCTCAACAGAAAAATGGGACAGTAATTAATGTGCACCCCTCTGCACCCTCACTCCTGCCCCCTTGGGGTGAATTGAGAAGCAAATAAAATACAAACAACACACAACTCAAGGAAGGTGTGCGAAACAGCAGCAGTAAAAAGAATAATTAGTAATAATATTGCTGTCATAATGAAGGGAGATCATGCTCCTGGAGAAGGAAAGTGCCATTTGTCTTGAAGGAATCAGGCAGCAGTGCCCCGGCAGACAGATGTGGCCGAGTCTCTCCAGTCTCCAGGGACCGATCCTGACATGCTAAAGTGGTCTGGCAGTCATCCAAGCCTTCCATTTAAAACGGGGCTGGAAAATGGCCCATTGCCTCTCCAGCTAAGTGGCACTGGCCTGTCCTCCCTTCCATCCTCCCTTGGATCCTGGGGAATCTGAAAGGAGGCATAAGCCTTTCCCTTGGGCAGTGGAGGGGGTAGGGGCCTCTCATTTGCCCCTTGACCTTGATTTCATAGAAGGGGGTGGGAGCGGTGACAGAGAAGGAGCAGGCCAAGCAACCATCCTGCCTCTGCAGGGGGCATGCACACTGATTTAACTGCATTTACGTGGTGGGGGATATCCTAGGGGAGACCCTTTCAGCCAGAAGTACCCAGTGACTGGGATGCTGGAGTCCTTCTCGGAGCTAGGACACCCTTTTCTCTCCTGCCCTCTCCTCCCTCTGTCACAGGAAACACAGAACCCTGTCCCCCAATGGCCATCTCCACAGGTCATTTTGAGACCAGGGAGCTGCCACCTGCCTTACAGAGCTGCTCCCCTCCCCGCCCCCTCCCCCACAAGGATGTGGAGCCAGAAGGTAAAGAATCAGGGAACATCTGGGCTGAAGTGACCCCACGAAGACATTAAGGGTCTCCTTGGCCCCCACCCTGGCTCTGGACTTCTCTCCTTGGATTCTCTCGTGGAGACACCATTTAAGAAGGACCTGCTCATGGGGCAGACCTGGGATTTTGTGGAGAACAGTCTATAGGAGAAGCAACCAGGGCAAACACCCAAGAGCTGCCAGGCACACAATGGCTGACTACCCAGCCCGGCCTCTGGCCCGCTCGTGATTCCAGGAGTCCCAGGCAGACAGTCCATGTCCCTTCTTCCTCACTGCAAAGGTCAGGCCAGCTCTCTGTGTCATGACTCCTGCTTGAGCTGAGCTGAAGCACTTGAGAATGGGCGTGTGGCTGGAATGGCAGATGAGGCCTATACGAGCTGGCGGCCATCAGCAGGCACTGTCTGGAGGCCGGGCAGGTAATCCTGTTATCACGGCAGCTCCCAGAGACGAGTGGTGCCTCTGGACAATTCAGCTGCCCCTTTGCCTGCCCCCAAGAACACTCATTTCTCTTGAGACCACAGGGGCAAGTTCAGCCTCTCTGCAATTGTCCCCAAACACACATGAGGGCTCATTATCCAGCCTTATAAGTTTCTCTGCCACAGAGGGGGATGGATGTCATTATCTTCTTTTCTGCAGTGTGGGGAGAAAGTAAGGAGAGAGACTCCAGGTTGTGGGCGAGTGAGCCCCTTTCTTGGATCCTTCCCAGCCTTATCCGTATAGGGAGGGCTGCCTTGGGGTGAGGGGTACTGGGCAGTGACCCTTCCTAAAACAGAAAGAAAAGTGGGCCCTGTCCAGTACTGCTCAGCACCCCCCATCTGACTCTCATCTC